GCGTACACAGCCAACCTGTTATATTAAGTAATATTGCGCTCAAAGAGCCTAAGATGTTCCAATGAGAATGCTTGATTTTAAGTTGTTTCTTCATCTCTCCCAATGTGGCCGAAGCCGTACCGAGTCTGTGCACTTACCAAAGTCGTCGTCGTCCTCTCCAAATGGATTCATCAGAAACTGTCCTACTTTCAACCATCCGAGGTAGAAAAGCATTTGGAATGTCGTGAAGATGGGGAAAAGAATAGTGATTTCCTTAAAATTAGACTGAATGGTGTATCATCTGGTTATCGAGAGATTGTTCATTTGGTTACCGTCTCCATCGACTTCTGGTCCAATTTTGGTTGTCGGCCGATCAGGCAAATGAAAAAGTAACCGTATGTAGCGATTGCGACCACCTGAAGTCTTCCAATAATCGACATGCATCGGACACTACATTGCAAATCTTCTCACCTGAGTGTATACGAGGGGAATCTTCACCCAATCGTATACGAAAAGCATGGCGAATCCGTCGCGATAACTGTAGACCTGAAGAGATGAAACTCATAATGAGCATGGGCAAAGAGATCACGTCACAGCGATGATGAAACTCAGAATGAGGATAAGCAACAGGTAATTAGATCTCCCATTCTGAATGATTTCCGATAAACAAACTAATGTTCAACACAATATGTACTTTGAAGGCAGAATTTACGATGAAAAGTTAGCTCATTGGAAATAAGGGTAGAGGTGGTCAGTGGAGCAGGGATGAAGAAGAAACCATTTGAAACGGCCCGAAACCGAGAAATGGGACCTCATCGCTGTGCCCTCTTCAACACTACGCTCTCTCTGCTATCTAATCACTAGACCTGCGGCGAGTGATCAGATGATCGGTGGGCGTACACTGGCCAACCGCGCCAAGAGTGAGCCATGCTAGGTCGCCGAGGTCAAATCTTTCGCTGCCAATTGCGCGTCGGTCAGCACCCTCAGGAGGTCCGCCTGTCTCCCAACTATGCAATTTCCCCTTCTTGACCTTCGTTCTTATCGTGAATTCCTCCTTTAGGAGTAGAGAAGTCAAGGTCAGATCCTGCCAATCATCATGGGCATATCCGCTGCGTCCCAAGCCTACATGGTAGTCGCTATCAAAGCCCGTCATAGTTGAAAGGAGTGGTAAGCTCAGTTCTCTTCTCCTGGTAAAGCATACGGTCTAGCTTTCAAAGGCACAACCTGGGCAGAAGGCGTGTGAACCATTCCCTTCCGTCTCTCAGAAGGCAATCTCCAAGAGCGCTAGGGCCTTCAAGATGAACTTCCGCAGCTGTTTTTCTTTTGTCGTGCTGTTGTCTGGCGCCTCTCATCTGTGGCGCTCTCTCGCCTCATACTCTCCTCTCGCTTAGTCTCTCATTCCTTAGCACAGCCGATTAGAAGGTGAGTGAGCCCTTAACCTGAGCGTTTTCGACGGATTCTTTCCTTTTTCTTTACTGCCGGCCCATTTCGCACCAATACATTCGCATTCGTGTGCAAAAACCACACCAGTTTGATCATAGGGCATGCCTCTAAACAAAAGGATACTGTGACTACCCTGTCTGTAGTGACCATGCATGAGGTTTTTGATGAGTTCTCCTCGAACATCGCAACGACGCGCTATTTGGGGACTTCTCATGGCGCGATAGCTCACAGGTAATCAGTGTTTTGACAACAAATGACCAAGGCAATTGAGGAGCAGAAGTCATTAACACGTAGCGTACCTGTCTCAATAGCATATCCATCTGAATGGTGTCGATTTTCTTGGCCGCATACTGCTTCTTAATCAGATTCACAATCCAAATGATAGGCACGAACCTGGAATATCGTAAATAATGAAGTGTACCGATGGTTAGGCGCCAATAGAAAAAGCGCCGTGAGACTCAGTGAGAAAAATGCTTTTCTTTCACTTCACGACTATGGCAATTTTTCTTGAATCTGTAGAAAAGAGTTGCTTTTTAGGCTAGCTCCAGAAGAGCAGTTGCGCTATGGCATAGCTTTGTATAGCGATAATTGAAGTCACTGCAGTCTGGTGGAGAGGGGTGCTTGTGGAGGAGAAAAGTTTTATAGAAATGTAGCTGTTGGGCGATGAAGCAATCCTAGCTTAAGGTACACCGTCACCTAGGTAAAGAGTTAACTTCACACACATTCTTTACATTTTTTAGAGTAGAGTATACAGGGGTGGCCAAAAAAAGAGACACTTCACTCCACATTTCAGACAGCATTAATCACACTTTGCTAAAATCAAATCGACTGCCCCCAACTCAGTATTGAAGAGCACCTTCTAATCTATCTAAACCTTACATGACAGCCTTCTACACCGACGACATCAGAAGATTTTCCCACGGAAACATGGTTTCGCATAACAGCTAATGTCTCTACGAAGCTATAGACACTTAATCTATTGAAGAAATTATGAAGCAGCTTCAG